AAGTTGTATAAGGATCCAACTACACCAGAAGAAAATGTGGGAAGTACTATCAGTTTGGGGCAGGTTAATTTGCATTCTTTTCTTGTTGACTGCATGTCACGAAGCAACATGCAAATGAACCTGAAGTCTGTCTCCCCCCGCGTTCAAAAATGCGATTACTTGAACCATGCAGAAAAGCCATCATATGGATACACACTGATAGGAATGGCGAGCAAAGCTTGTTAGCAAGTTTTTCTCTCTCCCTAAAAGACAGTTAAAGGCAACCAAGTCTGCCGACTTTTTTTTAAATTGAGAAGAGAAAGCTAGCACACAGGAATGCAAGCAAAGCCTGCTTTCAAGATTTTAATGTTCTCTTCTTTTTTAAAAAAAATGGCTTAGAGTGAGCAAGCCCTCTTTTTGATTGTAACAGCTTAGGGCTAAGCTAATGAGAGGAGGAAGCCTTTTTAATGGCTTAGTAGGCAGTTCCCTTTTAACTATGCCACCTGCTGAATGTGAATGTTTGCATTTCCCATGCTGTGTAGTCACATTTTCAATTACAACTTCAGCGGCTTATTTACTTGTTCATTCTCTAATGTGATTTATTCCATCTTCTGCCAGCAGTGCCGCTTTGCTTGCGCATAGGGCAAACAGAATAATAAAGACCCCAAACAATGAGAGTACACAAATGTGATATCAGCAACACAGAGAAAAGTTTCAAAACTGCTCAGAACTGTTTCAGAACAGTTCAACATCTGAGGATAGTCTGTTATGGATCTCAAGTGGGCTATGGTAGAAAAAGGATTTAGAAAGGAAGAATCAAGAGGAAGGCAGTGAAATTGGCTACATGGACAAATATCAGTGCATCTCTGAGGGCCTTAATGGAGACCAAGCCTTCATAGCACACTACATGTATTAATAAAACAGCTTTCTGTAATATATATTTGATACACACTTCTTAAGAACATAAGAAGAACCCTGCTGAATTAGGCCAAGGGCCCATCTAGTCCAGCTTCCTGTATCTCACAGTGGCCCCACCAGATGCCTCTGGGAGCACACGAGACAACTAGATCCCTGTCTCCTGATACCCCTCCCCTGCATCGGGCATGTGGAGGTACTTTCCTTCTAAGCCTGGAGATTGTACATCCCCATCATGGCTTGTAACCTGCGATGGACTTTTCCTCCAGAAATCTGTCCAGTCCCCATCTGGTGATAGGCCAGATGCCATCACCACATCCTGTGGCAAGGAGTTCCACAGACTAACCACACGCTGGGTAAAGAAATATTTTCTTTTGTCTGTTCTCACTCTCGCAGCACTCAATTGGAGTGGATGTCCCCTGGTTCTAGTATTGCGTGAGAGGGAAAAGAGCTCTATCCACTTATCCATCCCTTGCATAATTTTATACGTCTCAATCATGTCCCCCCTCAGGTGCCTTCTCTCTAGACTAAATATTTATTGATTGATTGATTGATTGATTGATTGATTGATTGATTGATTGTACTTATACCCCTCCCATCTAGTCACAGACTACTCTGGGCGGCTGACAGCAAGCCATATTGAATTCATCTATCTTTGCAAAGTGACGTCCTGAGCATCTTTCCAACACTGGGCAGTTTCATTCTGCGCTGCCCCTATAAAAGTTGCCACCAGTTCTTTATTTGATAAATTTTCATTTTCTCCAGTAAATAGTGAGAATAATAATAGCGTTTCATTTGGAACTAATTTTTATTTGTTATTTTTTTCTAACAAATTAATTACAGTACCTTATACCAGAATACTTTTACTTTTGGGCAAACTAACCACATATGTTCTAATGTTACTTTATAGCCACATTTTCTCCAACACAATTCTGGTATCTCTCTCTTAATTTTAAGTAGTTTGGTAGAAAATAAGTGCCACCTATGGAATACTTTAAACATACTTTCTTTACATTTTGCTGATACCGATTTGTATTGTTGAGTATTCCGTATTTTTTCCAAATATTTTCTGGTATGTCAATGTTTACATTTATTTCCCAAACTGTCTTTGGCCCTGTGCTGCTACCATATTCTTTTTCCAGAATGCTTTTATAAGGAAAGTGTTTGATGTCAGTAATGGAGTGGATGAGGAGTGGTGCCCTCCAAAGTTTGGGGTCATCAGTATGCAGATGACACTCAACTTTCTCTTTTCTTTCCATCAAAATCCAAGGAAAAGTGTTTGATGTCAGTAATGGAGTGGATGAGGATTAATAAACTGAAATTTAATCCAGACAAGACAGAGGTGTTCCTGACCAGTTGAAAGTTAGAGCAAGGAATTGGGATGCAGCCTGTGCTGGATGAGGTTGCACTCCCTCTAAAATCACAGGTGCACAGCTTGGGGGTGCTTCTGGATTCCTCTCTGAGCCTGAACACCCAGACCTGTGCTGGATGAGGTTGCACTCCCTCTAAAATCACAGGTGCACAGCTTGGGGGTGCTTCTGGATTCCTCTCTGAGCCTGAACACCCAGATTTCAGCAGTGGCCAGAAGTGCCTTTGCACAAATAAAACTAGGGTGCCAGCTCACCTCTTCCTTGAGAGGTCTGACAAGGTCACAGTGGCACATGCCGTGGTTACTTCCCACATGGATTATTGTAATGTGCTCTACATATGGCTGCCTTTGGAAAGTGTTTGGAAACTTCAGCAGGTCCAAAACGCTGGAGCCAGATTGTTAACTGGGGATGGTTACAGGAATTACATAACCCCCTGTTAGAACAGCTGTACTGGCTGCCGATCCATTTCTAGGCATAATTTGCTGATTTGTAGATAAGATGATGCCTGATAATGAGGAACAAATTGATAAAGCTCTTATAAAAGCAGAATATTCTTCTAGATCCCCATTATTAATGATTGAAAATGCAAGCAGGCAGGGAGCTTTAAATTATTTTAAAATCAATTTAAATTAGAGTCACATTATGGACGCACACCAGTCTGCACAAGGAAAAATCAATGAAGCACTATAGAATGTATCAGCTGTAAAATATGTGAAGTCCTCTAGAAAACTGGGAGTAGTAAATTATTTGGGTTGCTGACTGACAGTGACAATACAAGTAATTGGTAACAGATGTGGGAGATAGTCGATAAGCATTCACATATTCCTGTAGTATGATGTACATGTTATAACTGATGTTGTTTCTTAATTACATAATGAAACTGGAAAGCTTCCAGAAGACATGCAGATGACCGAAATAAGTTACAAAACATGTAAAAGCTTCTTATATCATAGTTAGGAAGAGAAAAATTGCAATAGTAAAACTCGAGGAAATGGAATGGTGATCTCCTTTGAAAGTTACCCCCCCCCACACACACACACGTTATTCAAGAAACAGCAATAGTGGAGGATCTTAAAGTGCCCAGAACTGTGAGGAACATGGTCTCTGAGAGGAATGACTTCTCAGTTCACCTATCAAACACCCTGAAGATTTGAAAACCAGTTTCTCCAGCCAGTACTGCCTCTGAACCAGACAAGCAGTGCAGTGTCAGACAATCCTTTCCAAATGGCCAAGTTTTTTTTTAGAAAAATGGTTTTTGAGAAACAAAGTGTTACACCCGGAGCTCGGTGTCTTAGCTAATTTTATTAAGCCAAGTCTCGAGCAATAATAAGCAGTTTCTTGGAGGAAAGGGCAACAGGTTTGTTCAGATAAAACAAGTGTGCACTTGGGTGCCCAGCAGGGTGGGGACCCTGAAATCAACAGGGTTAAAGTTTTTATGCAGTTCTAAAAAAAAGAAACAAAAGTATGCAGCAGTTCATTGGTCCTTGAGGAATATATCCATTGGTTTGCATCTCAGCAAAGCAGTTACCCATGGCCAGAGCAGCTTATCTCTAAGGAATGTTGAATCTTCCTTTCCAAGCACTTCTTCTTCTTTGGCATTTGCTCCCTCCTTACAGAAGTGTATTTCCACTTACAAGCACAAAAGAAAGGAAAGCAAATGATTTTTATCAATAAACAATAGGCATTTTATCCCCATCCAATTCATACTCCTGCAAATCTATTGGATCCAAGACTCAAAGGCAGAAACATAAGGGAAGATAGCTGACGGCTCCAGGGTCTCCCGGCAATAACTCCAAGGCTAAGTTGTCAAAATAACTAGAAAAAAGCTACAGTATATTTCTTCAGAAAGGCACACCATAACTGAAATTGAGGTGTAAGCTTCTCTTGTGAGCTTCCCCAGTGGGCATTCCCACCACTAACCCTTCAAGGGAAGACCAAGGATGATTTCACACTTCCTATTAACAAGAATGTAAACTCTTCCTGATCTTAAGGATAGCTGCGTAAGTGAGGCAGGGTGAGGGTCTCAGTCTGAGTGGCAAATTCATTTGGTATACTAAAAAGTGTCTGATTTTTAAGGGATTATTGAAATAATCTGTGTAAGTACTCTGTCTAAGACCAACATGCAAGCTGTAGGTCACGTACATCGCCCACTTTGGGGGAAATTGTTGGACCTTGCCCGTTACTCTCCCTCTCTCTGTGCACACACAGATAGACAGACAAACACAGAGACAAAAGAATAAAGAAATCACCCTCTTGGAAACAATTCTACTAAATATTCCATAGTGGAGAAGCTATGATAAATGTAACTTGATAAAGACACTTGCAGCACTTTAGTGGAGAACGCCCTTTCCTTCTTTAAAAGGACATTATATTAATTCCCCGCATGGGATAAAAGACAATTGGTGATTTCCTCTGTTGGATCTTTTATTGCTCTTGGGGAATTACTAGCCAAATGACAAAATGAAAACTATGCCTCTGCTGCAAACTTGTTATGTGTCTAGGGCATCTTAAAAACCACTCTTACTGAATGCTACTGCTGTCTCTACTTCCCTTTTGCAGTATGGAGGAGATAATGCTGATCTACCTCACAGCCTCCCTTGTCAGGCTGTTCTGAGGATTACTGAAACAGTGCACATCAGTTTGTGTTATACATTATTAGCGTATTGTTATGTATTGTGTTGTTATTTACATGAAATTGTAATTAAACGAAAACCATACATTTCATATTTATTCCAGATCATTCATCTTTCCTTTCTTAATTCGTGGAGGAAAGCCAACACCATTGATTCCATTTTTGCTAGCATTTCTATTTTGTTTGTGTAATGGGTATATGCAAGGCCGGAGCTTGAGTGAGTATGTGGAATATCCATCAAACTGGCTAATAGATCCACGTTTCATTTTAGGTGAGTTATGTTAACTACCATATATATATGTATATATATAACAGGCTTTGAAATATCTGAAGGCATCACGAGCAGCAGTTTCAGCTGTTATCCACTTTCAAATCTTATTGGGACCCACAGCGAGAACACCTGTATGGCTCTCCATGGAGGCTTGTACATAAAGATGGCAACTTTAAGTGACAGTTTAGAACAGGCCTGTCCAACCCGCGGCCCAAGGGCCGCATGCGGCCCAGGTCAGCTCGTAATGTGGCCCAGTGCAATTTTTTATTTTTAAAGAAATTCCAAAGTTTCAAGTTACACTGCCGGCGCTTGCGGCCGGAATGTGGTTGGGGCATGTCACAACAGTAGAGGGGGAAAGAGGGAAGGAAGGAGTGGGAGGGGAGGGGAGGGGACAGGGGGGCTGCGTGGCTGCCACCGGAGTCGAAGCTGGCAGCCTCTGCTGAGATCGCAGCTGGCGGTAAGTGCGCTTGGAGCGGGGCTGCGGAGTACGGCTAGGGCTGCCCCCCCTTGCGGCCCAAACCAAATGTATGTGTGGCCCAAACCAAATTTCATCGTCTAATGTGGCCCAGGGAAGGTGAAAGGTTTGGACGCCCCTGGTTTAGAACATGAGTCAAAGATGCCACCTTTGGAATGGACAGCATTCCTTCCTCACATTAGTCAAGATGGCATCACTATACAATTGTATTTGGCTACAGAGAGCATACCCCCCCCACAAAGTATTGGTAAGGTTTATTAGTTACAGTACCTTCCAAAATGTTAAAGAAGAGTGTGAACTGAATGTAATATTCAGTCCTTTTCATTAGTTCAAGGTGAAGGTAGGAACCTGTGCTCTTCCAGATGTTTTACAAAGCCGGTCATTCCTGCCCACTGGCCATGCTAGAGGGCAGATGGAGGGTTATGGTTCATTATGGTGTTCACCAATATTTACAGGACCACAAATTCTCTCCCACTGCTATCAGGTAAATTTTGGCTCTGCTGTGCTTTTCATGTAGACATGATTCACATTTCATGCTGGATGAGCTATTCCACTGTCATTGTTCTGAATGTATTTATGTGCATGCTTATCTACTTCCTTGGCATTATATTTAACAATAATTTGTTTTCATGTCTTTTGTAATGGCTGATGTATTATCGCCTAGATAGACGGGCAGCAGAGTGGGTTTGATTTAAATAAAAAAATCAGTTGATTTTATCCATCTTGACTGGCGAATATATTGAAAATTCAGATGTGGAGCTGCTACCATGTTTCAAGTCTCTAACGCCAAAGAAGCAATCCTTGCAAAAATAATACCAAGTCACAGACAAAGTCACAGAAAGGATTTTTCTCTTAACCATTATAGCCATATTTTCTCAGGAGCTTTTGTTTTTCTTTAAAAAACAACAAAAACTCAAGTATCAACAACCCACCACATTGCACAATGTAGGGCTGATGTGTACTTCAGAAAATCATCCATTTGGTTTCCTACCTTGTGAGGGCCCATGTAAAATTTTCAATGTTGTGCTTTCCATCAAAAATGGCTGCAGTGGAGATTGTGCCCATTCACAAAATGGCTGCTATGGCAGGCATGGAGTTCAGACTATCAAACTGAGACAGAGAGGTACCTTGCCCAGAAACTGATTACAAGGGAGAGGTGGATTCTGAGCCTCAAAACACAAAACCATTAATTTGCAGCTAACTTTCTACTCCAGCTAAACACTCATATTATATTATTGAAAGCCAACTTTCTGTGTCTGCCAGCGAACATCCACAATCCCCATCTGTTTCCCAGGTCACACATGCACACTCTCAGAAAGAGGGGTGGAGGGCACCACTACCATGATAAACAATAACTGAGCACTGATACTGATGAAAAACAGATGGGTGGGGGGAAACAAGGCATATCCTGCTTTACCCCAAGCCCAATTGGCCTCACTTTCTATCTTTACCTTTTCCTGCCCTTCTGTTCCAGAGCTTTATCTGTTCTATGACCCCCAACCCCATGTGTGCCAAGGCAAGCAAACAGCCTGCTGTGGATCGTTGTTGGCCTCTAGGAGCATACTGGTACCCAGAACATCATGTGTGGGACATCTGGCTATGCCATTTGGCAGACTGATTCCTCCACCTGCCAATATGGAGTTAGTGACTTTAGCCCATTGCCAGATTAGCATTTTCTGATGCAGCCCATGCTACTCTAAAAGTGCAAGGGAAATGCTATACATATCACCTAGAAAATTTATTCCTTTCCTATAGCTCTTATGGCCCTTGTAGACCAAAGAGGAAGGCAAGAGACTGGAAGGTAGTATCTTCTGAACTATTCCATAGCTGCAAAGAGAATGCCTGTCCTTTGATCTTGGACCTGATAGTGGAAGAATGGAATGTGCTCATAACTTTAAACTAGAAAAGGTATAGAAAAGTATGCAGGTCATACGCAGAAGGCATGTAGCCACACCCGCGTCCTAAATACAGACTACTTGATCCCATTTGTTTTTTACAACCTTACTTCTCAGTTTTATATGCTTGTTCTTTTGTGACCTCTGTGATGTAGTTACACATTTGTTCAAGGCAAAAAATAGGTGTGTTTGTTAGCAGTAATCCACTGGCAAACTGATGCAGCTGTAGCAGAAAGGAGCCACACTAATGACAGGTCAAGGGAAGCCATGTAGCTTTTAGAAGCGCAGTTTCAGGTGATTGCAACATTTATACCTGGAATGAACTTAGTGCCTGTGGCAGAATGCATTACTAAAGGTAAACTTATCAAAGAACAGAAGTGCCAAGTCCTTCTAAAAAAGAAAGAACATGATACCACAAAATAAGTTCTGCCTTACTAAGCTTTTGGCATTCCCTGAGTGTCTATAAACATGTAGACAGAAATGAAACTGTAAACTTCTGAAAGGCCCTAACCAAAGATGTCTGAGGAAAGTGAGCAGTCAGGGGGTAAGAGCAGACCTTGTCTTATAAGTTCCTGATTAAAGAACAGAGAGCAAAGAGGAGGAATAAATATTTAGTTTTTGCCATGGATCTGGATAGTGGATCCATTTTGATTTGTAGGATAGAAGGTACAACAGTGGTGGAGGCAAGGGTGACAGCCTAGTAAACCCTCCCTCTTTCTTCTTACCCCCACACACTCACACATAGTATTATGAGGCTGGAGCTTAGCATGTAGGAAATACTGGTGGCAGGTCCTTCCCTCCCCAGGTAAGGAGGAAGGTAAGAGTGGGTTTGCTGGTTGTAACCTGAGTGTAAGGTGGGTACAGCTCTATTTGCCCAAATGGACAAGCAAGCCACTGCTCCCAGAGATCATGACTGAGTACCCTGCTGTGTGATTTGTTCATAAATGAGCTGGAGTGAGAGGGGAACTAATATGTAGCCAGGCTTCTAGAAACACTAAATTCAGAGGGATTAGAAGAAAAATGCACTGGAGCTTTGCAATGTTTGTAGTGGACAAATTCATGGAGGATAAGAGTGGTGACATGTCACGATGGCTATATATTATTTTTGCTATCAGTAGCTGTGTGCTTCCTGCATAACATCATTAGGGAACACAACTGGGAACACTATTGCATTCATGTCCTGGTTGTTGGTTTCTCATAAATATTTGGTTAGCTACTGTGGGAACAGAATGGTGGACAAAACAGGCTGCTGGTGTTACTAACCCTGGCTCTTCTGGTCTCAGAGCCTTTCTATTTTTCCATGTGTGGGGGTCATTTAATAAGCAAAAAAAAAATGCAGATAGGTGCATTGGTTCATTCAGAAAAAGTCCCAGTGGTAACAATAGGATCATAGCTTTGGGGTTTTTTTTCCAACTGAGTCACCAAGTAGTGAGTAGAGATGGGCACAACCCACGCTTCGGCAGTTTAGCCCAGTTTGGCACAGTGCTGGCACAGGTGTTCCACGGTTCCTGCATGCTTCCCTCCCTGCCTCCTCCAGACGATGGCCTTGTCAGACGAGGACACAGGGCAGGGAAGCCTGTGGGACTGCCTCTAGGCACGTGGCTGTCAGAGGAGGCAGAGGAAAGAAGCATGCTGTTGATGAGTGAGTGGGCGATCACCCAGAGGAAACAGGAAGGTAAACACATGGCATCTACATAACACCTGTGTGGGTGCTGCACTGAACCAGGCCAAACCACTGCACCGGTCATGCCCATCTCTAGTACAGTAGTCAGCTAGCCTTCGAACAGAACACTTCCTCCAGCTGACTGTTAAATGGAAAATATTACAGTGTTTCTCAGTGTGTGTAATATATTTCTGGTAGATGGCATGGTATGGGCCTGTAAACAGAGCAGTCTTAGGAATATGGTTCTGGAAGCTCTTTGCAGATTAAATGGAACTTTGTGCCCAACACAAAAGCTCTCATTGCATGAAATCATATCATACTAGGAAAAAGCAGCAGTGTTTGCTTTCCCTTTGAAATAAAAGTCAGCAGTTGCTTAGAACTATTTCTAGCACTGATCAGCTGATAATTTAGTAATTCTATCCTAGACTTCTACAGAGTAATGAAGCAAGCAGTGTACTATAGTTCAGATGTGTATTATCTCCTGTATGCTTATAATACGATTTTCTTCTTTTTAAAGAAATAAATATTTTCAAACTAGCATTTTCTTATGATTTCCTTAGGTTTTATAGCATGGATAACTGGTCTGGCAATTAATATACAGTCTGATCATATTTTGAGGAATCTTAGAAAACCGGGAGAAACAGGCTATAAAATACCAAGAGGTAAGTAATGTGCTATAGAAATCTAACACGGCAGGTATGTTTAATTGAAATACTTCTTACTGGGGTGAAAAAACATCAACATATCTCCCCCACTCTGGTTGCCCTGCACTGGCTGCCTGTTTGTTTCTGCATTGATTTCGAAGTACTAATTATGACATATAAAGCCCTAAACGGTTTAGGACCGCAGTATCTGGTGGAGTGCCTTCTCCCACCTAGATCTACTTGAATCACTTGCTTTAGTTAACTTGGGTGGCTGAGGGGCCTAACGCCAACAGAAGCCCGAACAGAAAGAACACAAAAGCAGGCTTTCTCTGCAGTGGCCCCTTGCCTTTGGAACAATCTCCCCCAGAAATTTGTCTGGCTCCTCCGCTGGGTGTTTTTAAGAGCCAATTTAAGACCTAGCTCTTTAGGTAGGCTTTCCCTCCTATCAATATCTAATTTATTTGCTATCTTCAATTGTACTAATGTTGTTTTGTTTTACAGTGGTGCCTCACTTGACGAGGATAATGCGTTCAGTTAAAATCACTGTTAAGCGAAATCCTTGTCAAGCGAAACGAAAAAGTCCATTGAAATGCATTGAAAAACGGTTCAATGCATTCCAATGGGCTAAATACCTCAGCGTCCAGCGAAGATCCTCCATAGGGGTGGCCATTTTCGGTGCCCTATCTAAATATTGTTTTGCGATCGCTATTGTGATCGCAAAACATCGTAAAGTGGATTCGTCGTTTAACGAGGTAATCATTAAACGAGGCACCACTGTATTTTATTTTATTATTCTTGAGTGTTGTTAGCTGCCCAGAGTAGACTTCAGTCTAGATGGGGGGGGATATAAATTAAATAAATAAAAATAAATAAAAATAGATATGTTGAGCAAAAGATTTAAAATCTTAAAGAGCTTGCTGGTGCAAAAACTCTCAGTCTCTAGGTACTGTATTTGTGAACTCATTGTTACGGAAGTTGGCAGCTCCTGCAGTTCTCTTATCTAATAGCGTGGGAGTAAGCCCTATTAAGATAAATGGAATTGACTTCTACACAGAGACATACAGTATAGAGTTGCACTTTGAACATTTTTCTGTTCACTACCCAACAGAAAAAGATCCTTCTTGATAAAAGTTTTCTCCCGACTCCTTTGGTTGGTGTCTAAGATATGGGTTTGTTTTATTGGTACTTAAAACATTAAGGCTGAACTCATGTTCCCTGATTCCATTTATTGCCACAGGAATTAAGTGCATGTGTGTGGGTGGAAGGGAATGGAGACAACAAACCTATTTGATGTTTTTGAAAATAGAGTTACTGCTGCTGCCTCCACCAGTGCAAGACAAATCAGCCTCTCCTTTTCTGTAACCACTTAACAATAGTACAACAACATTCAGAGGAAAATAATTACTGTACAGTGACAGCTATTCCCACTAAGTGCTCAGTGCGTGTGCAGCTGCCTGCCAATTGTGGCACTGTCAAGTCTACTCAAAACTACGAATAGGAAGTCCTTAATTTTGAGAATGTTGCTTATCTCTAAGGTTTGAACTGAAAACAGATGTGGTTAGACAAAAATGGAAACACCATGATTTAATTTAATGTAATATTAGAATTGTTGCACATAGAGTCCTTAGTTTCAACAGCTGGATTTCAGGTAATTCAAAAAGCTTTCATGTTCAAAATAACAAGAATATTAATTCCACAGTCAACATTCAACTAAGTTCTGTTCTTTAGGAGGAATGTTTGAATATGTAACTGGAGCAAACTACTTTGGAGAGGTTCTTGAATGGTTTGGATATGCTCTTGCTTGCTCAACTATCGAAAGTGTAGTTTTTGCCATCAGTACACTAATCGTATTGGGAAACAGGGCACATAAACATCATAGGTAAGTTTCCAGAAAATCTAAGTTATCTTGAATATTCATTTGAGATGATACAATAGTGATTATCTATGTATGTGTGGTCTCAGTGATCAATTGTTGATAGTTAAGAAGTTGAAATCTGTATTTCTTGTCACACACTATGTTACAAGAGAGCACTATGGTAGATACAAGCATTGACTTCTTAGCTAGTGGCAATTACACTATTGGACTTAAACTGGTAAATGTAAGTAACAGGCTTCTTGCCAGTATTCCCTTGTTCTGAATGAGTCCTTCGAGGTCTACATCTTTTACCTGTAACTTGTTGCTTTCAATAAAAAGTTGTTTCCTCCCTCTCCCCCCCTCTCTCCCCCCCTTTTGGGAATTTCACTGCTTTTTAAAAAATAGAAATAGATATCAGTGTTGGGAAAAGAATGTATGTACTGGACAACTTGAGGTCTTTGAACCTGATGTATAAATAAATTAATTAAATAGTCAAAAGTAGCAAATCACTCACCGATTTCTCCAAAAGAGTTGGATCTCAAAGGAAACCACAGTTACTAACTGAGTGGAGGAAGTTGCCCTTTAAGCCTGTGTCTTAGAGGCAAATCCTGCATCCTATAAAATGTTACTCACAAATCTTCCCTGCACAAATCTTTGCTGCCCAAAGCCTCCCACCCAGGCATTATATTTGGATGATATTCATACTGGTATGAGAGCAGACGAAGCTCCAGCGCAAGGGTGGAGAACATGTAACCCCCCAGGGCATTTTTGCAGCCCCTAAGGCCACCTCAAAAGGTCATCCAGTTAAAAAACCTCATTTTGGCAAAAAAAAGTTATTTCATGTTAAATAAAACATGCTCGGCTGAGAATCAGTTAAGTACTGTAGCAATTTGTTAACACCAGGCTAACATATCCTTGCTGATAGTCAATATTGTTACAAGAATTATATGAACATGATACAGGATACTTTTTTCATCTGCTGTCTAGTAATCAAGTTATCTGGACTAGCCATGTGTATTGTCCTTGAAGAAGCATATGGATAAGTTCTGGTCTATTGGTACAACAATGGGTTGGGGGGCTGTGGGGCAGTGAAGAGCCACTCCTTGCCCCTAGGGAGCGGAGCAACACCACAGTGGTTCGTCATGGTCTTGGTCAGTGACACGTATGGGTACCCTTGTTGCTCTGAAGAGTCACCTCATCAGCTGGTGATCTTATTTCTGGGGAGAGTCCCAGCACAATGAGCAGTGCTCTCACTGGTGACAGTGCAACTTCTCTCCTCCGGTAAGTGAGCTTGCTAGTCTACCCATATGTGTGCTTCATGGAGACCACCACAAAGGAGGACAGGTTCTTTACCTGTAATTATGATTCTTCAAGGGATCATTTGTGAATTCAACACATCCCGCCCCCATCCCTCTATCATGCTCAGCTTATGTCTGGCGGGGGGGTGGCTGTTGGAGGAGAGCTGGGTGAGAGGCATTAAGGGAAGCTTGGTCATGGTACAGTGGCATGTGGGGTGAAGGAAATGCTTCTCCTTAGGCTCTAGAAAGTTCTGAGGCTGCTTTCTGTGCAGGCACAGAACCCATGTTTGTGAATTCATGGATGACCACTTGAAGAAGTAAGCAAACTGTCCATCATTTGTAGGGTAAAAAAGAGGATCGATAATTTGAATGCGAGAAGGGAAATTAAAAGTAATACAGTAACAATACACAGCTGCTATCCCCTGTCATATATGTGCATTTTATTATTACCATTTCAGGAAGTTTACATTCAACTTTGTAGAATTTCATTTTTTTAGTTTACTCAAAATTTCCCTTTGATTTGCAGAACCTTTTATGAAAACGCCTTGAATGTGGTTTTCCAACCATTTGTAAATCTCCCTGACAATATTATCAACCCTAATTTAACTAGTTTGCTAACCAATACCACATTGTATTATATACTACAAGACCCATTGTGGAACTGCTTATTTCTGCATAGGCACTGCATTTATTTAGGCAAACATACTCTGTATTTCAGAGAATTAAAAAAATATCAAAGACTTTTCAATATGCCATTTCAATATGGGAACTTTACCAAAAACTTTGTTGTAATTATGTCCACAGCATTCCCTCAATATACTAAGCTGGCTTCAACTAAAACACTGGCCTTGGGGCCCCAACTGCAGATGTTCTCCTCATACCTCCTGTGTTGTACTTTATGTGTCAGGCAAAAATCTTTTTATTCAACTGGGCATTTAAAACATCTTTATTGTTTTAAATTTGATACTTTTGCATTTTTACCTAACACTTCTATGTTTATATATTCTGCATTTTAATTCCATTTTTACTTTTATGTTTGAACTTTGTAAATCACATGGGATGGTTAAGGTACATATGTCAGGACAGAAATGTGACACATAAATAAGCCACTGCATTTCCGAAGCAGTTAGGAAGTGTTCGTTGTGAAATGTTGACGTTTCTCTAAGTAGCGTAGCAAGGACAACGGTTCTGCTATAATAAACTCTTAAATGGTGAAAAGGCATACTTGGATACTATATATTTTCATTTCTGAAGGTTTAAGGACATGCTTGGACATGTCCTTACAATTCAGAAGTACAGTTACGTAAAATATTTAATTTTGGGAATTATGAACAATTCAGACCAAATGGCATTGTTCACTTCTTCTTGCTTCTTCTCCAGGTGGTACTATGAGAAGTTTGAAGATTACCCACAGAAAAGGAAGATTCTAATCCCATGGGTGTTCTGAGCTCTTCACCTTGGTTGTCAATTCTGAATAACTCACGTTACTTAGAAGACACTGACTAAATTACTTCTGGTGTTATTGCAGAAAAGAGAGGTTGACGGATACGTGTTCCATAAGCAATTGTAACGTAAAATACTGCACTGGATGATAGAGCAGTAACACATTTTATTTACTGCTTATGTGAAGTGGTACATTGAACTGTGAAAGTCTTCACCTATGAACCTGGGAAATTTTTATACCTCATATAAACATAAGAAAATAGCTTATTTCTAAGTAATATAATTTTCATAATCATATACTGTATGTCTATGTTTTAGATCAGTAGTTCCCAACCCTGGATAACCCAGGTGTTCTTGGACTGCAATTCCCAGAAACCCTGGCTAGCACAGCTGGTGATGGAGGCCGCTGGGGACTGCAGTCCAAGAACACCTGAGCTACCCAAGGTTGGGGGCCGTTGCTTTAGACGGAGAGCTTTGTACGGCAGGGGTCGGTCTTCTCTAACTTGTTATATGCTGATGGTGCTTCATCATTGGGTAAGACAATCCATTTGAAATATTCTTAAGTGATATCTGCCATACGTATGTATTTCAATATATGATAACTTTAATGTTATATTTTGCAAAACTGCTTAAAGAAAAGGGGCCTATAATACTTCCAAACAATGCCTAGACATTACTATAATTAGTTATATATTTGTGTCACATACAGAGGGAAATCTAAGTAAATTAGATATGAGATGGAAAAGAAGGGCTAAATATATTAGGTAGAACAGTTTGAATATAGAACTGTTCCATCACTGTCTCCAGACAACTCTGACTTAACCTGGCACTGAAAATGAAAGCAATAATAATCTCAAAAAATATATATACGCAAAGCTGGATGGGTCCTTATGGATCATCAGCTCCTGTCAAGGTAGCACAATGTGGAATTGAACTCCACAGCCAGATGCCTATACCACTGAACTGTCCAGAGTAGGTGCTAATTGGGTGACCATCACTGTCTCCAGACAACTCTGACTTAACCTGGCACTGAAAATGAAAGCAATAATAATCTCAAAAAATATATATACGCAAAGCTGGATGGGTCCTTACGGATCATCAGCTCCTGTCAAGGTAGCACAATGTGGAATTGAACTCCACAGCCAGATGCCTATACCACTGAACTATCCAGAGTAGGTGCTAATTGGGTGCTCTCTAGAGCTCAAATGACACCCAGGACGTTTTACAGTGTGAAGTCCCTCATTGTTTGGGAAGTACAGTAGGGTTAAAATATTTTAATTAAGCAATGGCATGTTAAAAATTTTTTTTACTTGTAGAATGCATAACAGTATAATTGTATTTAGTTTATTTTTAGGCTGAGGTGAGGTCCAGGATGAATTATGCTGTTGGGCCCCCTCTTGGTGCTATCTATGTATTGCAAGGGATGAAGTGTCAAACTCTGAATTTTTAGGAACCACCCATCCAAGTTCTTATCCTGGGTCGAAATAAGAACAAGGGCCTTAGATGACTATTTTCACAAATAGTTAGATTTAAATAGTGACATTTCTCTTCATTTGCCTCATTCCAGACTGAGCATAGGGTATGCAATCCAGTTGGGATGGGAGAAGAGCTTTAATCCCTTGGCCTCCACTGTGGTACCATTTCACTGAGCCCCCCTCTCAATCAGCAATTTTTCATTCCAAGACATCATCCATTTGAGTTTTTGGAATATTTTTTATTTCTTCAAGTCTAGTGCTGAAATAGCTGGATGATGTGGCCATGGCCCTCCATTCTCAATTCCTTGCTGTGCATGTCCTATCAGACAGCCTTTTTGTATCGTGCAACTCAGCCCATTCCCCTTAAAAGGTTTTGCTTTTTATCTTTCTTAATAATCACCTAAACAAAAACTGAATGCACTTGGTAAAGCTTCTCTTGCTTGATAAAGCTTGTCCTTACTTCTTATACCAATTGCTTCCTCAAATGAGTTGACTTTCTCTCTAATATTATATACCAATATGATAATGCATATGGGTGAAACAGAAGTATGGAAAGAATTATAATATAAAAAGGAAGATTGTGTTGCAGAGAAAAGTGGGAATGCATTCAGGAGTGAACCTCTGGTTTGTTTTCAGCTGCATGCATTACTTCTGCTGCTAATTTCCCTTTCCTGCAGTTCGAAAGGTCCTATTGCACTGCTTGTGTGAGTGACTGAACTGATCATAAAAAATGCAAACAGTTGTTTATTCAGCATTTAAACTTTGCATGCTCCAGGAGTAGAAGTTATCTTCTATTAACATCTGTATCACCCCTATTTCACTACAGTTACAATGCTGCCACCCCCAGTTAAGATGTGAAGACCTGGGAAGAGTTACCCAGGATTTCCTTTTCAGGACTTTTTCCCCTGGAAAAACAGAGCATTTTGATTAGAAAATATTTTATTTTTGAAGGATGAATAATATGTTGAAGTAAGGTGTTCATATATTGCTGTTTATTGCTCTGATTCCGCAACAAGGATTTGTATCCACACTTAAAATTTGGGGTTAAATCTAACATTAAACTAGAGATAAATGAGTCTTAATCGCAGCTGCCTTAATCCCAATTATTTCAGTGGGTCTGCTTTAGGTAGAATTTACATTGGATGCTGTCCAGAATGCTGGAAAGGTAGTTTCAAATGCTGAAAAGTATTTGGTCTACAAATGCAACTTCATTTTCTGATCGTCTGACTCCTGTTACTTGGTACCAAGACCTTTGCATGACTCAGCCTTGGATACTTTTTTACATCTCTCCACCTCCTGATTCTTCTGTCTTTGGAACTAATATAATGAAATAAAAATTAAACTGCAGTATGTGAAAGGACACAGACAGTCTGTCTTAGGGTGCAACCATACAGGTATTTTGTTCTGCTGTTTGGTCTGCTGTCAGTCAATGTAAAATGTCAGTGTGTAACTGCACCTTTCTAAAACCTCACAAAATACTGAAAACACTCAAGTGCAAGCCATTGTTCCTTAGTAGCACCAACCCCTTGATCTATCTGAGTGAAAACACAACTATAACATTTTATCAATTTGAAAAAGACATACATATTTAAAAGTAAGCACAGAGCTTCTAAAATAATAATAGTGTGAAACAATCCCATGGTAAAAGCAAAACAACACTCATTCAGAGACTGAAGCAGTTAAGAATCAGACACACGGAAAAATAATAAAAGCTATCTTAATCTATACTTAAGATGGGTCCAGCCAGTGCACACGAGAGTTCAACAGAATAAAAAGCATGGATTACATTTTGAGAGATGAAGCAAAGCATAAACTGATTCCTTGCTGCTTTAGGCTGCTGCTTGAGTGAAACATTCTTCTGTCTCGATTTATATCTCATCATCCCCTCTCTGGATGGCTCAGTATTTCAACCAATCAGATGGTGTTCTTTCCTAACTAGCTAACTGGTAACTTCTGCAAAAGGAACTAATCAGATAGCACAGCTACCACTAATGTGGGTACCATGAGAATCCAAAACAAAAGGCTTCTCATAACACTCCAAGGTTACAGATAACATTTTTGAACAGGTAATGCTAAGTTAATTAGAAGGTATCCCCCTCTTCCCATCCAACTCATATGCAGCTACCAAGAACAAGCTTTCACAGACTTGAGGGAATAAGTTGATTTTTTCCTTCCTGGTTTCCTCACAGTTTCTACTATGGTTGGAAAAAAAATCACAACGGCTTATATCCTATAGGCCTATATTCAACATGAAATGAAATGGCAGGAGTGAAAAATTCCCACTAATGCAATGGTCCCCAATCTTTCTCAGTCACATGCGTGAACAAGCACTCTCTCTCATGCACATGTGAAACGGCGGCACAGTGCTTGTCAGTGCGCGTCTGCGCTTGTGAGCAAAGACCAGAGTGCAAACGGGCTATGTGTGGGGGTGGGGTGGGAGGTTAAGTTGATTTTTTCCTTCCTGGTTTCCTCACAGTTTCTACTATGGTTGGAAAAAAAATCACAACGGCTTATATCCTATAGGCCTATATTCAACATGAAATGAAATGGCAGGAGTGAAAAATTCCCACTAATGCAATGGTCCCCAATCTTTCTCAGTCACATGCGTGAACAAGCACTCTCTCTCATGCACATGCGAAAGGGCGGCACAGTGCTTGTCAGTGCGCGCCTGCGCTTGTGCACAAAGGCCGGAGTGCTAACGGACTATGTGTGGGGGTGGGGCGGGAGGTCTGTCTCAGCGTCCCAGTCTGTCTCAGGCCATGGACTGGCACTGGGCCACGGACCAGGGGTTGGGGACCTCTGCACTAATGTACTTGATAACATCTTTGCACAAGAGGTTGTTCAGTAAGTTGTAGAATTGCTGCACAAATGCATGGGCAGAACTGTATTGAAAGCCAAAACTGAATTACAGTGGACACTTGACTTACAGACTTTTTGAGTTACAGACTTCTCTGGCCGCAAAATTTAGGTTTGACTTGCAGACTGAGATTTGACTTACAGACCAGAAAAAACCCAAAATGGAACAAAAACCGCCTGTTACGGGATTAATGGGTATTCAGTGCACTGTAGGTCAATGGAGACTTGACTTACAGACTTTGTGACTTGAGAACCACCTTCCAATATGGATTAAGTTCTCAAGTCAAGACCCCACTGTACCTATGAAAAGACTCAATTGCAAAGATTAAGGCATCACTGTGTACAGGTTGCTTTTAAAGGGCTAATTTGGTTTTGCACGTAAATTTGTGACAAAACTCTTCATTCATATGGAAATGGTAAATCAAAGCAAAATAAAGTATAGTAACCTCTAGAATAACCTCACTAGGAGCAGAATTGATGAAAATATGTGGAGTAGCTATGAGGGCCATTGGACAGATAGGTTCTTCTTGTGGTATCTTGCGAGTCACACCAGTGGGTTCCTTCTGGGCCTACATGCACATCTCTGGAACATTCCAGAGTCTAAAAAGTGAGTTAAATCACACCCTCTCCACTGTCTTCTCCTCTACACTCTGTAGCTAGTCCTTAGTTCCCTTTCAGCTGCTGTTCAGGGAACACATTTGGAACTTCCTAGACCGGATTAAGTTCTCAAGTCAAGACCCCACTGCCCAAAATGAGGGGGTGAGGAAGAAACCAGTGGCTGCCGTGCCGCCCAGAAGACCAGAACTGGAACAGGAAATGGCAGTTTTAGGGGGAATCATGGGGATGGACAGGAAGTTAAAGGGGGAATTATGGGGACGGACAGGAAGTTAAAGGACCCAAAACAGGAAGAGAAAGGGGGAATCCCAGCTGCAGCCACTTCAAAAGGTTTGCAGCGTGCCAGAAGGGCTTCACGTGCCAGCTATCGCACGTGTGCCATAGGTTCGCCATCACTGTCCTAGACCCTTTTCAACCTGATTTTTGTAAATAGTTCTTACCTCTTCTAAATAATTTATCTGTTCTTCGTCCATTGTCATTCTATGTTTGTGGCCATTGTGGATCTTCTGTATTAAAAAATACATTGTTATTGTTTTCAACGTCTTTCCTGCCTCTTATGGCCCCTGTGGGCCCATTTAAGAAGTATATCTCTTGCACTAATAAAATACTTCTCACTGACAGACTCCAAGCACCTATATTATTTGGGTGAAGGGCATTAAACTCATCACTGCCAAATTTGTTGAAAATTTACAAAAATCTGCCATCTGTTCTTTTAGAGTTATTGTCGCTGCTTTTAATGTTTCTGTTTTTGTTTTATATGTGTGTGAGGCTGAGAGTAACCTCAAGGATACTCTACAGCAGCGATCCCCAACCTTTTTGGGACCATGGACCAGCTGAGGAAGGTGGGGCACCCCCGCGCTCATGTACCCCCACGAAGGAGTGCTCTCGCTGGCTTGTGCACTCTCGGGCACATGCATGAAGGGGTGGGCGAGCATGTGGGCACATGCCAGCACGTGCACGATCGCTCCCCCACCCCTTTGTGCATGCGCCGGAGCACCTGCATGCCTGTGTGCCCCCTTCGCTTGGGCGCATGCATGAAGGGGTGGGGGAGTGCTCACACCAGCGCTGGCACGCATGTGCAATGCAGCTGGGGGGATTGCATGCAGGGGGCTGAAGGTCTGTCTTCGCAGCCCAGTCTGGCTTAGGCCACGGACCGGCACTGGGCTGCGGGCCGGGGTTTGACAACCTCTGCTCCACAGAGTGTACCATCCATCTCTCTCATCAGAAAGACAGGATGAGGCAGAAGCTATTGTAAAAGGATTATAGCCATTGAAGATAAAGACAGAAACACCAGAGGGCACCAATTGGGTGGGACAAGGGGAGGATATAAAAGAGAGTGATAGGAAGGGAAAAGGGTGTTTGGAGAAGAAAGGAGGAAGCTTCTTGGGCACAGGAGGAGACATTGAAACATGAGAAGGAATTAGTGGAGATGAAGATCCCTGGACAGAGGAGTGGGTAGAGTTTAGAATCCCTAAAGAGTATGCAGAGGGAAAGTGGAGAAGACAAGTATATAGAAAGCCACCCTATTGGGGGGAGACAGAAGAAAGGAGACAACAGAAAGAATATAAAGCTTGGTAGCAAAGAGATGAATAAGAGGGAGCAGAGGAGATGTACAGAGAACCCTGAGAGATCCCATGGGACCAGCCGTTTCTGAGCACAAGTTAGGCAGAACAAGGTCAAGAAGGTTTGGGAGCCACAGGTGGGTTGGGTTTACCACCCTCAGCCATGATGTTAATGGACAATATACCTAATGGATCAGGCACCATACCGAAGTGGACCCACAGGGTTGCAAGTTCTTCCCCTGTATCATTCCAAGGAGACTTACCATGTTTTACTAAGGTTAAGACTTATGACTTGTTGAAAGCAGGAATAGAAAGTATGAACATAAATGAAGCAGATGATGTTTTAAATAATAAACCTCCTGTTTTATTAGAAGACTTTGGTGTACTGCCTTCTTCTTTGAAGAAAAACACAGTAAAGGAGGTAAGAGACAGAGGATGGGATCACAATGTGTTGTAACCCGCCCAGAGTAGTGCCATGACACTAATGGGAGCAGTTTACAAATTGAATGAATGAATGAACAAATAATAAATAAAACAGCCATCAAGAATACACAGCCTCAGCTGAAGTTTTACTTTTAGAAGAAGTCCCTCCAAGCAATACACTATCAAACCCAAAGGCAACCTTGGTCTCTACAGTCTTGGTTTGTAAAATGCCATCCAAGCAAGTACTTATGAGGTAATTCAGTTGAAAAAAAGCTTGGGTAGTTTACCGTCCCAAGCAGTAGAAGCTGCTCAACAAACATCTGCCCTTGGTTCTGAAGACAGATCAGCCACATTGAAAGTAGCCTGAATACCAAAGTCAACCTCAGTAATGAAGTCAACTTTGTGCTCAGTTCTGAAAGGGAAAAAGCTACCTATTCAGACACTAGCCATATTAAAAAAACAAACAAACAGAAGTCGAAAACCCATGGGACAACGGTTTCTCAACTTTCACCCCAACAATGCTCTCCAGAAGGCAAGGAACATGGGGACTTGATATTTTTAGGATCTGTTTCAAAGGATGAGATGTCTCAAGCACAGGCCTCTTCACTGATCTTTAGTCGCTCCCTGAAATGGAAACAACTAGTGCAGCAGGCTTGCCACTCTGACAGCCCCAGGGTTACACAAGAGCAGGGTCTGTCTACCTTTCAGGATCAAGCACATCCCTCTTCTTCCAAATCTCAATCAACAATAAAAGAGAGGTCTCCAAAATAGAAAAGGCTTCATAAGTTGCACCACTCACAAGGGATAACAAGGAAGGCTGTGTATCCTTTGTCCTACTACTTCAATGCCATGTCATGTTTTTATTTTGGTCCATAGATGCATTTTTACCACCTTTCTTAGAATACCAGGGGATGCAGGGAGAACTTTAGACTCTCTCTGGGGTTAGTCTCTAAGCATTTACCAAAGTCAGCACCATTTGCTCATCAGTTTATGGCCTACAGAATGACAGCACAGAAATTGCTGAATTTGGGGAAACATTACAAGCATTCAGTGTTGAAATCCCCTGAATCCAAAATATTTCATAAACAATCACACCATACCAAGCATGTTCCATCCCAATGGGTTTCAAGATCTCCAGTCTCAATTGGCAACCATTGAAAGACAATGTCTCGCCCTTCCAGATCGGCGACACCCAGGAAAGAGCAACAGGGAGGCCAGTGTCTGAAACTGACAACATACAAATGCAGGTCTGTTTCAGTGTCCTCTCCCTCACTGAGCAAATCACCAACACCAGAACCCACTTGGAACTGAAGATCCCAAGAACACTCAATGTCAGGATCTTCTAAGGCAAAACAATGCTGAAATTGAAGCTCTCCAGGAGTGCCTAACCTCAAGATCATAAGCACAGTTGGATTCAAAGTACAGTATCAAAGGATGTCCTTCAAATTGAAGCTCTCCAGGAGTGCCTAACCTCGAGATCATAAGCACAGTTGGATTCAAAGTATCAAAGGATGCCCTTCATACCTACTACCGCAGTTAAAGATAACAGCCAAAAAAGCCAAAGCCAAATGCCATCATACTTTTTATCTCGAGCCCATCTGGTATATTCTACCACTCTACATACCTACTACCTCAGTTAAAGATAACAGCTAAAAAAGCCAAAGACAAATGCCATCACACTTTTGATCTCTGACAATTATTATCTAAATGTAACAGTAGATCGAATACCTCAGAGAAAATGGATGAAACACATCAGATCAACTTCCATTCCAACAAAGGGAAAGAGGTACAGTATTAACTTTCTGCAGATCAAAAGAAAGAAACTGTGACTGATAATTCCTACTCCAAAACTTTGAACTCTAATAGTCATTTTTTGATGACTCACTATCCCTTTCATGACCAGTCCTGAGTCAGATTTTGGGTGCATGAACCCTCTATCACCATCAGAGGACATCAGGTCATATTCTGACCTGATGCTCAGGATGGCCAAGTCATTACAGCTAGAAGTCCAGCTGCCACATCCACCAAGATCTGATCCCGTATATTATCAAATCAATAAGAACTCGGCAACTTCTGTTCACACTGGTGCGCTACCCTCTTTTAGATTTGGTTCAGGAGTCCTGGCAGAAACCTTCCACATAGCCACCTACATCACGACGAATTGGAGAACTCGGCAACTTCTGTTCACACTGGTGCGCTACCCTTTTAGATTTGGTTCAGGAGTCCTGGCAGAAACCTTCCACATCACGACGAACTGAAAACCTATACAGTACAAATTTAATGACAAAAGAAGCAACCTTCCTGCTGAAACATCCCCAACCATATTCTGTTATTATAGAGGTTTCCCAAACTAAACCAAAGAGACACTATATAGCACAGCACCCGAGCAACTAATAATAGGAGGGCAACCTAATTTGAATTGTTCAAATTTTTTTGACATAATGCTTTAAAATATCAGACCTAAGCTTGGGGGAGGGAGGAACCACTTTTCTGTTTTCCCCGACAGTCTGTTGCTGGCACCTGCTTTCCCACCACGGCTGTCCTAAAATGCTATATAGCTGAGCTTCAGGAGAGGAGTAGAAAATTAGTATCCGAAGGGACCAGAAAGTTTCGTCCTAAAAACCAAGCGTCTTGCCGGTGTATAACTAGTGTACTACTAGTGCGCGCTTGTATTCATTCTCTTCCCCCATCGCTCAGGCACCACGGACCGCTGCCACGAGCCCTTCCCTTGCGCACGCGCAATAGAGGTCAGGGAAGGCGGGGTGGAGGGTTGGCTTTAGGCTCTGACAGGCCGTCGGAACCGGCTGGAAAGAACCTGAGGCGGGACGGGCGGATGGATGGATCCCCGCGTGGCCTGGATCCAGCCCGAACAGAAAGGCCCCGCCAATGCGCTCTGGATGCAAATCTGGGAGAATTCTCAGGGCCGAGCTGGCGGCGGCGGCGGCGGCGGCGGCGGCTCCTCCTCCTCGCCTTCGCCTTCTTCTCCGTCGTCGTCGTCGTCGGCTCCGTCTTCCTTCCCGCCAACAGCTCCGGCCCGTTACTCCCTTTGCCGCTTTAGCACGACGCCTCACTCGGAAGCCGCCTCCGCCGCCGCCGCCGGACCTCCCTCGTCGCCTCAGCCGGTCTCCTCCAAGCCCTCTTCTCTGCTCCGCCTTCTCCCGGCCCAGACGGCGGAGAGGCGGACGCCGCGGTTGCTGCTGCTGCAGAAGTCGCCCTCCGTCTCGTCGTCCTTTTCTTCCTTCTCGTCCTCCGAGTCCGGCGCGGACAGCCCCGGCGGCGGCGGCTCCTCTTCTTCTTCCTCGACCTGCGGCCGGGCCGGACCTGGGACACCCCAGCCGCCGCCTTCCCCCGCCGCTTGCAAAGCTTTGGAGGGCTCGGCCGAAGAGGGTCCGCGGAAGGGAGCCAGGAAGGAGGAGGAGGAGGAGGACGAAGGGCAGCAGACAGCAAGGCCCTCGGCCGCCGCCGCCGCCGCCGCCCCTCATCATTACCACCGCCACCACTACCACCATCAGTACCACCCGGGCCGTAGGAAACGGGAGAACAAGGCCAGCACGTATGGCATGAACTACTTGCTGTCGAGCGGCGTTGTAGGCCGCGATGGGCTCGGCCCGGCTGGCGACGGCGGCGGCCCCTGCTCCCCAGCGCAGGCCGGGTGCAACCTCGCCCCCCTGGGCACGCCTTGGAAGACGAGGCCGTATAGCCCCGGCATACAAGGGTGAGTCTTGGGGTTTCGCAGGGCACTCCTCTCCGCCTTGTGCAGGTTTGCAAGCTGAAGGCCGAAGTAAATGGGACAGAAGGGCGGCGAACGCCTCGCCTCTGGTGCTTATTTTTAAATAAAAAACTAGCTTGGGGGGGGGCGTTTGTGTTGGGAGGATGGGGCTGCCCTGCGAAGGTTAAGTGTTTCCCCCCCCCTAGGGTCGCCCTCTACGTGTGTCGTTCCCCGTATTTGCACTAGAGGGGAACAGCAACTGACGAGGGAAATGATGCAAAACGGGAGATCCGAGCCCTCCCCTAGCGTGTGGTGCTGCTTTGAATGATGGCTTCCTGCTGGCCCCGCCCCATTATATTTAAGTTTTATTTAAACAAACTGCAGGCGAGCCCCACTTCATGTTTAGTTTGGCCCTAAGAGACCGTTTGCTTGCCTGAGAGCATCCAGTGAGTTAATGACAAAACCATACCACACCTTGTCTTTTGAAATCTTAGTTTAAAAGCCAACGGAAGGAGGAGGATACTATCCACTTAACTTTGCTTGTGAGGTTCCCGAAGGCGTCCAGGATGTTATATTCAGGATGCACTTGAAATTTGCAGTGCTGAGGTAGTGCAGGGTCCAAGTCCTGTTGAAAGCAGTGGATGTACTGCTTTAAACAGGAAAAATACAAATAAGGTGACTATAAGTGACCTGCTGTCTCAGAAGCCTGTGGTCAGGAGCTGGACCATTTTACTCATGATTTTAAGGTGGACTGCCTAAGATGCTTATTTTGAGCTGGCTTAGTATAATGGTCAGTGATGTGACTTTTCTGGAAAACTTTGAACTGGCAAACTTTCCAGTGCTATAAGTAAAATATGATCTCATGTAGCATTTTATGTATATTTTTTGGTAAATAAACCCCCATTTTAACTTTCTTCTGTAATAGTCATTTGAGTTCACATCATTTATTTAGGGGGGGAAAGGGCTGTTTAAAATTTGTAAATGTAGCAATCAATCAAATGGTAAAGATTTCTGTGGACATTATGTTTATTTAAATAGATACAAAAAGAAGACAATAGTATATATTTCTCTTACATTATTCAAATTGATAAGGGAAACAAAAAAACTGAACTATTGACATACTTGTTTTAGTAAATCCAAAGAACTATGCACTCTATGTCATTGTTATTTTCTCACCTACCTCACTAGTGTAACTTTATTCAACTGAAATTAGTGGAATGCTATCAATTTCAGTGTCTCTTAGAACCACCAGGGATGTGGTGGCGCTGCGGACTAAACCGCAGAAGCCTGTGCTGCAGGGTCAAAAGACCAAGCAGTTATAAGATCGAATCCACGCAACGGAGTGAGCTCCTGTCGCTTGTCCCAGCTCCCGCCAACCTAGCGGTTCGAAAGCATGTAAATGCGAGTGGATCAATAGGAACCAGTTCGGTGGGAAGGTAACAGCATTCCGTGTCTAAGTCGCACTGGCCATGTGACCACGGAAGATTGTCTTCAGACAAACGCTGGCTCTATGGCTTGGAAACGGGGATGAGCACCGCCTCCTAGAGTCGAACACGACTGGACAAAAATTGTCAAGGGGAACCTTTACCTTAGAACCACTTGCACTGATTCTTGGTTACATCCCATACAGAAGCAAATCTTGGTAGAACTACTTGAAATTGTTCCTTTTTTGCTAAAGGATAAGTTTATAGACTCACCAACAAGGGTGTTTACCACACTTCAGTTTTTCCCCTTTAATTACACTTTAATTGATTCTTTACAAGCAAGATATTTTGTGAAGTACAGACAACCTTAGCAATGCATAGCACTCTGTTTCTCTTTATGGCTTAATTGAGTTCAAAGATTTTCCAGTTCTGTTCACAGAAACTGCTGTTGGTTGAATGCTTTGGATCCTTATGGAAACCCTGCATAAATACCAGTTGCCCCATTGTGAGAGAGACATGTTGGACAAGTTTGCATATAACAGTAAGCTCAAATTGAAGAACACTCTGGCATATTTGTAATAAGCAGTGTACTAAATGAACACTATCTGCTCTCACTCTTTGTCAGTCAGGGCATAAAGGATGAAACCTCTAGTGAAATTTTGTTTAGGTATTGTTTTGGCATTTGTAGTCTGTTGCTCCCAAACAAACTGGCAAGTCATTGGCCAAGAACAAACTTGGACTTCAGATTTTGGATTTTTAGGAGAGTAACAAGATAAGAATTCCAATTTGGAGTTAATATGAATCAAGTCTGTACTAGAGTTTGCTTAATTTGTTTAGTTTCTCTTGCTGGCTGGCATAAGAGACAAAATGGAAGGCAGAAGGCAAAAAGTGATGATATATATTACCAATAAGCCAACATTTACAACAATTCAGGCTTATTGTTCAGTGTTTTCCTCTAAGGTGTTTGTTTTGTGTTAAATAGTTTTAAAGCTATGGTATTTAAAAACGGACATAAACTTGCAATATGACTGAAAAAGAAGATATATTTAGAGATGTCTAAAAAGTATCTTATTCAGAAACCTAGTGCAATGAAATAATTCACAAGTGGCCAGTTTTGCTAGATCTGGTTTCCTTCAGGGGTCATGCAGATCACCAAAACTGAGAATCTGAATTGGAAGTAGGCAGAAGTCCATTTGTGGTTTTGGAAAAATGAGTATATCCATTCTTGAACTAGTGGTAGAACTGTAGAAAGCTAATCTGTAGAAAGCTACTTCAGGTGTTTTATGTAACAAAAATAAAGTCTTTATTTATTTACTTAAGAGATTCCTGAAGTAGATTTTTCTCAGAAGACTTTGTACTACCAGTGCAAGTACATAGAATCATAGAAAAGTGAGGTTGGAAGGGGCCTACAAGGCCATCAGGTCCAACCCCCTGCTCAGTGCAAGAATACAATCGAAGCATATCTGTCAGGTGATTATCTATGTTTTACTTGAATGCCTCCAGTGTTGGAGCACGCACCAACTCCCGAGGTAACTGGTTAGTGCTCTAACAGTTAGGAAGTTTTTCCTGATATTCAACCGCAATCTGGCTCCTTTAACTTGAGCCCATTGTTGCATGTCCAGCACTCTAAGATGATCAAGAAGAGATCGTGCCCCTCCTCTGTATGACAGGCTTTCAAATACAGTGGTGCCCCACATAGTGAAGTTAATCTGTTCTGGCTTAACCTTCGCTATGGGGAAACATCGCTAAACGGAACGGAAAAGCCCATTGGAACTCACCAAACTCACCGTTGAGCGAAGTTTCCCCATCCGGCCGCCATTTTCGCGCCCTCAGTAAGCGAGGGCAGGGCGCAAAAACGCTGCGCGCAGCCATTTTGGGTGTTCCGGCGGCCTTTTTGGAACCGGCGATCAGCTGTTCCCCCGACATCACAATGCGAAGATTGGTAAGCGAAATGCTTACTGATAGTCGCAAAGCGATTTTTGCCCTATTCAAACATCGGTATGTGATCGCATTAGCGATTGCAAAATCTGCATCGCTATGCGGATTCATTGTTAAACGGTGCACTCGTTATGCGAGGCACCACTGTATTTGAAAAGTGCTATCATATCAGCCCTCAGTCTGTTTTTCTCAAGGCTAAACATGCCCAATTCTTTCGGCCTTTCCTCACAAGGCTTGGTTTTCAGCCCCCTGATCATCCTTGTTGCCCTCCTCTGAACTTGTTCCAATTTGTTAGCATCCTTCTTGAAGTGTGGTGTCCAGAACTGCACACAATAATCAAGGTGAGTCTCAACCAGTGCTGAATAGAGGGGGACTAACACCTTGCATGATTTGTAAACTATAGTTCTATTAATGCAGCCTAAAATAGCATTTGTCTTTTTTGTAGCCACATCACACTGTTGACTCATATTTAGCTTGTGATCTGCCCTGTTTCCCCAAAATAAGACCTAACCTGAAAATAAGCCCTAGTATGATTTTTCAGGATGCTCGTAACGTAAGCCCTACCCCCAAATAAGCCCCAGTTAAGTGAAACCCCGCCCTCCACCATTGTGCAGCAACCAGAAGATGACATGACTGTATTTGAATAAACGTGATTGTTGTACATGAAAAAAATAAAACATTCCCTGAAAATAAGCCCTACTGTGTTTTGGGGAGCAAAAATAAGACCCTATTATTATTTTCGGGGAAACAGGGTACGACAATTCCAAGATCCTTCTCGCTCATAGTTTTGCTGAGTCAGATATCCCCCATCTTATAACTGCAATTTGTTTCTTTTTCTGAGGTGTAGTACTTTGCACTTATACCTGTTGAATTTCATTTTGTTGTTTTTGACCCACTGCTCCGTCCTATCAAGGTCATTTTGAATTTTGTTTCTTTCTTCTAGGGCACTTTTTGCCTTCATGGACTGATTTAGTGGAGGGGAGCAACTGTGCGTTTGTGGGAGGGGTATGCGTGGGAGAGGTGTGCATGCATGTGGGGGGGAGAGGAGATTTGTCTCTGCAGCTCAGTCCTGGCAAGGCCATGGACCGGAACTGGTCCATGGACCAGGAGTTGGGTACTCCTGTTCTATGGTACTTCCAGGTGAGGTTATTATTATATAATCACCCTGCCTTGAACCCAAATTTTATGAGAGGTCTGGTCAGACAGTGGCACCTTCTATGTATAAGCCCTCTAGATTTCCCATTTTCTTTTACTCTTTTTTGTTTATCACAAAAGATCTGCTAGGAGAAAAATGGAGTAGATATACAATGGCAGAAATCCTGTTGTGCAAAATGTGTAGCTTTGAAAGTGGATTGCTTTAAGCTAAGAAATATCTGTTGACATTATCTGTTGCATGCTGTCATGCAGCTTGATGTGAATATATGATGTCTATGGAGATTTCTTAATTTACAGCAATTCATTTTTGAATTGTAGCAGTATGACTGGAAGCAGCCTTTGTTATATTAAATTTTGTATATGACTTGTACTCTTTCAGGACAGTTTCTATACAATATTAAATATTCATTCTTCTAATGTTATGATTGTTCCCCCACAACAGTGTTTGAATCTACCAATTTCCTCTCTTCTTTCCTTTAATTACTTCAT